TTAATGAAAACAAATTCAAGAGAATTTGAGATGGTCACTTACCAGGAGTGCCGACTACGCAGATAGGGCTACGGCCATGACATCTGGCACGACGCGAAAGGCTGCATTGTCAGCCGGCAAGGAAATTAAAGCCGCTAGGCTCAACACCACGGCTGGATCCTCAATGGTTGAAGCGTCAGAAGAGATTGGCGTATCTTTGATCTTTGGCCGAACAATAAAAGGAGCAACCACGTCCGACTCTTCTAAACAAGGCTGTTTGGAAGCAGGGCTAATCTCCAACCCAACCTCTCCCTCAGCATTACGCTTTTTGCCCCGCTTCTTCGGAATCAGCCATTCGTCAATGACCTGTTGTTCAACCTCTTTCCCCACTTCGGCCGCCGCAACTTGAGCCGTCTCTTCAATAACGGGTACGAAAGTTTATCAAGGTGGGCTCAGAATGGGCAGCCTTGGCTTTCCTTTGAGTAGCCATTCGCTCAGCATTTTTCTTTAGCGCCATCTGCGTAAGGCTTTCCCCAGCCATACCTTCGAAAAAATCGCTGGGTAGGTCTTCCAAATTCGTAAAAATATCTCCAGAAGAAAACTCTGCCCGACCCGAAGTGGACGGTGAAGGCGGGTTAAGTCTGGCAGCCTCGAACGCTGAGCGTATTGCCGCGTCGACCTCTTCGGCCTCCTCAGCGACCTCTTTGGTTAGTTTGACAACTACCTCTACCGCCGGCTCCGCATCTTCCCCCAAATCTGAATCTTCGAGGCCAATTTGCCTAAGGCTCTTGAAGCTGGGAAAGAGAAGAGCCGAAAGGTGTTGATCGCCGGATGGAATTGGAACGCCGTCCGTGGCCGAGATTGTAGTATAAGTAGGTTCGTATCGGAGGAGTATGTGAGCAGGTCTCCCTTGCTTTTGTACGTTTGGACGGCCGAAGTATCTGAGTACAGACTTAATTTCCTCAAGGATTGCGTCGTCGGTTGAGGGAAGAATCTTCTTCAATCTGTTACCTGCAAAGAACAAGGGGTAATTAAAGGAAAAAAATCGAATAAAGGGCAGATCAACAAACACGAGGCGTTACATGGCAACCTGGATCACCCTTTCGTCTGGGAATAGGGTTTAGGCGGTCTTCGCCTTCACCGAACTCCCAATTACCTCGGACATTGACCATTACGTCGTCAACTCTCTTACCAGAACTGGCAAGCATGGTTATCAAGTGATGGTCAGTGTCCTTGGCCCTGAGAAAGTATCGCCCCAGCCGACGGGAATATTTGGCCAAAGCGTAGCAGTGCCGAATCGCCGGAATGCCAAAGTTGATCCTAAGGCGTCGGTTCAACTCTATCACCTCCATGATGATTCGAAAGAAATTTACGTTGGGTTGAGAAGGAATCAAACTCCAATAGCGAAGGACGGCCCTAAGCAATGGATGTAGGGGAAAACAGACTCCGCCCTCCGCTATGGATAAGAGAGGGAAGACGATCGTATTTTGATCCTCCCTCCCCATATCAAGAGTATTATCCGTTATAAAAGATAAGTGGACATCGTCGGGAATGGAAAAGTGCCGCCAGAATTCGGAAATACGACCCTCAGAAAGGAGGTCTTTCAAGTGTTTAGCCATTTTCGCGGGGATTCAAGGTTCCGCCAAAATCAAAATGACAAACAGAAAATACGATTGCAAAGAAGAGAGAAGAAGACTTACGAGGAGTAAACGGGGCAAGGATAAACGGAGAAGAATTGCAGAAAATGCGAGTCAGAGAAGGAATACCCGCTGGCGGTTCAAGAGTCTCGAATACTCGATGAAATGTGCACTCGAAAGGACTGAAATTTCAAATCGCAATAAATGCAAGACGCACAAATGAGGCGGGAAAGTGTAATGATGACCGAAAAGGTATCCGCATTCTGACATCTGTATTGGGGTACGCGAAGCCGCCTGACCTATTTTCACTTTTTCAATTCAAGACCAAACACGCCGATTAACTACCGTCAATGGAGAGTTCGGGGGGCAATTGTGGGAGCCGAATAATGGCAAAATCAGAAGGTACAACCTTAGAAGATTGATATTAATTGGTTGTATCCTACGAGAATGGGAAGTCGAATATAGTACATGTGTCGAATAAGTGTAGATCCTTAGAGCCGAATAAGAGAAAGGACAATGATTAAAAAATAGGCCCTGACCCCGAGGATCAAAAGGAACATGTATAAATATAGGAACAATGGATTGAGAAAGGGGGTAACAATCGCTTTTTGCTTAACCTAGAAGACAAGCTATTTTGAGTACAAGAACTGACTTGTCCGTCGGAGTGCTAATTCCGGCACCCCCGACCAGAGTGTTTGTGTCTTTTCAGATGACTAACTGAGGATCACTAGCGTCTCCCAGGATCTGAAAAGTATTTCCAAAACCACTTCTCCACACAAAGAAATTTCAATTTTCACAGGGAAAATTTTCATTTCTCTAATTTCACAGAAAAATTTCAAAATTTCTTTATGAAAATTGAAATTTCTTAGAGTCGGGGCTGAAATTTTTCTGAGTCGGATAAAAATTTCTTTGAATCAAATTTTCTCTGTAAAAATATTGAGGGACCTTAGTTAATAAAAAAAATATCTTAAATCTCTCCTATTACAAAAAAGTTAGAGAGATGTTTTACTAACTTTCTCAAAATTTCTATCCAAAAGCTGATAAATCTAGCATCAACTTTAAAATAAATTTTAATATATTTCAATTAAATTTATAAATTTTATGAAATAGACTTAAAAACAAAGACTAGAGCCTTCCCAAGTATTTTTTTTCCCCATACAATAAGATGTTCGGGATTTATAAATTAGATTATAATAAACATGTCGCAATCATTTTATCGGATTGAACCGAGAACCTTTAACCTTCACACTATCCCAAGAAACAAATACATTTCAACATGTTTGGCTTTAATTTTTTAAATTTAATTTTTTAAAAATTGAGTTTTTTTTTTTTTGATAAATTTTTTTAATATTTTAAGAATTTTTTTTATACTTTTTGGATGACTTTTTAGCGACAACCCTTATGATGGCAGGAATTTGTCTCCAAATGTTTTTTACAACAAACTGTTCACTTTTGAACATAAAAGTTTAGTCCCTAAAACTTTAACATGTTATGGTGTTTTTATATGACAATATAACTTTATAATCATGTAAGAGAATTCTTTTTGCTAATAACTTTTTCATTACTAATCATAAACAAATTTTAACCCTAACTTTGTGAACTTGATAATCTTGTAAATCATTTCACCGGTTCAATGCAAATCTGTCTAGTTGTAATATACAGATATGACTTCCTTTTTATTTGGAATCTTCATATATTCAAAGAATTCTCAAGATCAACTAACCAATCAATAATTATTTATTTATTTTTTTTTTGCATTTTTTAAATTAACTTATGTCAACCAGTAAAATATACAATTAAAAAAAAAAAAAGTAAGCTAACAGGTTGGACTAAGGATACCACATTGAGGCCACTTAAGT